GACGCTTCCCGTTCTTGTCCGGTCAGGTTTCATTAGTGGGTCATTACTGGGCCCAAATCCGCCGACCCCTTGGGGTCACGGCGTGTGAAATGGTCCCCCCTCCCCAAACCCCTCCCCCCGGAGCCCGGTCCGGCCAGTTCGGAGGGGGGGGGGGAGGGGGCAAAAGTGCCGGCCGCACTCTGGGAGCCTCAGGGGGCCCCAAGACAGGCCAAGAGGGCCCCAAAAGGCCCCCCTGACGGTCTAAGAGGGCTGCAAGTCGCCGAAAGATCGCTTCAAGGCGCCCAAGACTGCATCCAGACGACCCCAGATGCCCCCAAGACGCACCACGAAGCCACCAAGAGGCGTCCCAAGAGACTGCAGAAGCAAACATCGTCCCAATCCCGAGGGTAAACGTATATTTTTAGCACATTCGCTTCGTGGGCTTTCACGAGGCCCACAGCGGCCCAAGAAGCCTTCAAGATTGACCCAAGGTAGCCCAAGAGGCCCCCAAGAGGGCCCCAAGACGGCCCAAGATGGCCCCAAGACGGCCCCAGCCTAGGAGGGCCCCACCGAATGAACATTTCGAGCACTCGGCCCCGAAAAAACATGAGGAGGCGCCAAGGAGGCCCCCAAGAGGCTCCCACGAGGCTCCCGGGAGGGCCCCAGGGGCCTAAACACGGTTCCCAAGAGGCCTCAAAAATGGCGCCAGGAGAGCCCGGAGCAGAGCCGCCATCCGCCAACCGCCCTCGACGAAATCCCAAGAAGCTGAAACCCCAAGATTCCCCAGAAATCGCGCGCGTTGCGCAGACTCCGCTTCTCACTCTTCCTGCCGCCCCAAGGGGTCGGCGGCGCGATGTCCGCCGCTGAATCCTTACTCGGCCACTGGCGGAGCCACTCGTGGAGCCAGCAGTGGGCCATTCGTGCGGCATCTTGTGGGGAATCTGTGGCCCATTCGCTGGGCGACAAAACAGCGGGACACTCCAGTAGCAGCCATGAGACAGAGCGCTCCCTGACGAGCACCACTCTCCGAGACGGCGCCAAACCACGGGGCCTCCCAGAACTTGTGCCTTCTGGCCTGACCGCGCCCGCGCCCGCTGAGACTCTGAGGCCCCACGGTGGCCCAAAAGGGTCCCAAGATCGCCCCAAGGGAGGCCCACAGAAGACTCAAGGCGGCCCCACGAGCGCCCAAGAGCGCCTCCGAATGACTCCGAGAGGCGACCGTGCGGGCTCTGACGGGACGAGGCTAAGTAGGACCAAAGAGGGTCCCAACGGCTCCCCGAATCCTCCCCCTGGGAGCGGTGCGAGAGGGCTCCAACAGGCCGAAGGAGGCTCTTAGAACGATAGGTCCGCGAAGGCCCTCATGGCTGACTCCAGTGATCTTCGATAATGTCGTCGTCCACCCCTCCTCCCCCAGATTCATCGTCTTGCTCGTCCTCCTCCACCTCCTCCTCACCCTCCTGCTCCTCCTCCTCCTCCTCCTGCCACCTCCCTCTTTATCCTCCTTCCTCCTTCCCCTGCTTCCCCTTCTTCACTCTCTCCTCTGCCTCGACCTCCTCCGACGGCAAGCTCAACAATTCCATTCCCGGGAATACTCACGCTGATTCCAAGATTCGGCGTCACGGGTGACCCGATCCTCTGTTCCACCGCATGCTCCTACACTTCCCTGATCAAGGCAACTCGCCTGGCGTTCACTTCTGGATGGGCTGGTGGGAATACTTGTTTGGTCGGCGGCCGCGCGACAACGGTCTGGCGGCAACAGGCGATGTCCGGGACGGCGGTACAAAGCTAAGTGCACACAAATACGCGAGGCGACAAGCATACGAGAGCTGCGTGCGCCGAGCGTGATGAGACAAGAAGGCCATGCAACCACCACACGCCCTCAAGAGGAGAGGACAAACACTGGTTCGGGGGTGGCGACATACTTCGACACGGTCAGCCATGTAACAAAGCCCATGACATCTCGGTGTGAAGAATAAGCGCTTGGACAGGCTGCACTAGGCCTGCACCCACACAAGCAAGAACACCTCACAAAATGCATTGGTGAGCCCTGCCGACTGGTGAGCCCTGCCTGAAACAAAACGGGGGTGGGGTCCGAAAATGGCGAGGCACTATGAAGGACGACAAGCAACTGAAGGAAATGCGGACGAACTGAAAAGCAGCACTGAGCAGCCTTACGGTTTCGCCGAACGCATCACATATACGCCGTCGACAGGTTGCCCGATGTCGACGAAGGCGACAAGGACGACGACACCGCAACTGGCGATATCAGCAAACGTCCAAAGGGCTACCTGCCCTGGATTTCGGGGCAGAGGGGGGTCCTCCGCCTTGGATGCGGCCAAGGCTGGATGGCCCGAGACAGGCGGTCACGACGGGGGGGGCAAGGGCACATCCGTCCAACATCGGTCCCCCGTAGGCCCTTCCCCGGGGGGTCCACCAGGTGCAGTGTTTCACCCAGGATGCATTTTTGACGCTCCTGGGGGGGCGAAAGCGGTCCCTAGAGTTAGGTCGGGCCTGTCCCCCTACCAGCCGATTTCCGAGGAAAAATCAAAAGTAGTTAAAACATGCCTAGCAATAGTCAAACAATACTTTAAAATATATTCCCCAGACTATTGTTTGACAATGTTTGAATATTCCTCCTGTAGAGGGACAGGCCCGACTAAACCCTATCGACTTAACCCTAGAGACAGAACAGGGCAAATAACCTTCTCGAATCCGGGAACCTCGCACCTCGCACCCCCTTCCTGCATGCAAGAATCAATACTGGGCCACCTCCGACCCCCAGCCGGCTCCAACGTGGAGGGTCCTCCTCCGCCTCCTCCATCCTTCTCCCTCCATGGCCTTCGAACATGTCCACTGGATTAATGGACAGCGCATTCTTGGATATGTAACACTGTCTCACTTCTTTACATCGGTCGCATAGCTTTGGCTTTCGTCAATCTGTCCCCCCTTGCTTTGTTCCTGCCTTGCGGGCCTGGCGCCGCACAGCTAACTGCCGGTTCACAGCGGGGTGCCCTTCCTCGCTTTGAGGGGCGGCGGTCGGAGTACGTAAGCGTTGCGTTTGTTGCTCTGGCCCACGAGATGTGTATCATCCTATCACAGGCACGCTGCCGTCATAGAGGCCTCCCGGATGGGGTCCGAGTAGATCGTGCCGGAGGATGGACGAAGCATCGGCGATGTCGTCGGTGCATCGGCGACGCCGGCGCTGAGAAAATCGGGCTCCACATCGAGCCGCACAACCGACGCATCGGCGATGCGGCGCGATCCTCCCACCCCAGCTGCTCCAACCCATATCTCGGAGGCCTGAATGTCATGCATTTGTCCGCAGCAACCCTGTCGGGAAACATGAAGGCACCCATACCGCTACTCCCTGGACCTCTCCCCGGGTGCGTTCTCTTCAAAATTCCGAAGCAAATCCAACGGTGGCGACGAGGGCCTCCCAGGAGGCCCAATGCGGGAGAGCTGGGCAAGGGTAGCAGCGTGGGTCCCTTTCCTCCTGTTCCCTCCTCTTGGCGGTGCGCACAAGGGGGTAGGAGGAGGGGGAAGGCTTCTTAGAAAAAGGCTGATCCTTAGAAGGCGCCGGCCCTACATCTATAGACAAGGCCCGCACCTTCTGAAAAGCAGGGGCGTGTCTAAGAAGCCTTCCCCCTATGCCCCTGCCCCCCAGTGCGCGTGGCCAGCTCCTCCCGAGGGCGTCCCAGGAGGCCCAAAAAGACAAAACGGTGCAGGGTTAGTAGTATGGGTACCTTTCCTTGTCTGATCCTCCACGAGGCCTGCGCACCGCCCAGAAGGGCGCCAAACTCAGCGCTTGGCACTGCGCGAAGCGCGAATAATTCCACGATCTCGCGCCGCCCCGATGAGGAATCGGAGCCGACCCGTGCAGCGCTGATAATTTCGCTCCCTCGAGGGCGCCCTTGCTTCCTCCTCTGATCCTCCCCGTAGCCTACGCACCGCTAGAGGCCTAGGGGGGTCCGAGGAGATGGGGTCGGAGGGTCGCGCCGCATTGCCGATGCAACAGCGCCGTCAGCATGGAGCAAATCGGGCTCTGCATCGAGCCACATCGCCGATGCATTGGCGATGCGGCGCGATCCTGTGACCCCATCTTCTCCGGCCTTAGTGGGCCCCGGAAGCGGCAATGCCGTTTTCTCACCGTTTTCGAAAACGAATCTCTTGAAAATGGAAGCGGCAAAAAATGGCGACCGGAAACAGCAAGAGATTGGCACCCGAACCAGATCGAAAAACAACGGCGACAGAACCAGCAACAAAAACGGATACGGAGCTGGCAAAACAAAAGCGGCAGAACGGAACCGATAAAAAACGGCCCTGTCGTTTGCAGAGCTAGGGGCAACGATAGGGGGGATAGGCATAGGGGGGATGCATCGACCTGGAATCGGCGATACATCGCCGATAGATCGGCGATAGGCCCCCGATAGTGAGTCCGCACCTTCCTGGGCGGGGTGGGGCTATCGGGCCCCCATCGGCGATCCATGGGCGTTTGGGGGTCGCTGCCCATCCCCCCCGATCGCTGCCCCCTGACACGAAGGCTCCGACCACATCTGGGAAGCCCGGAGCTCCGCTCCAAAGCTGGGCGAGGGCGGCTAAAACCGCGGCTGCTAGAACGGCCCTCCCGGAAGGACAAAAACACAGCTTCCCGGAATGGGGCGCGGCACGCGGAACCGTCAGCGGGCTTCCTCCCGGAAGGACGAGAGGACAACTTCCCAGAGGTCGATTTGGGCGCCCGAATTATCCGGGGTAACTCGGGTCCGGGGTAACTCGGCTTCGGATTCCCGAAAAAGGAACCCGAATCACCCCTGACCCGAGTTACCCCTGATGATTCAGGGCTCTGGACGCCCGAATCATCCGGGGTAACTCGGGTCCGGGGTAACTCGGCTTCGGATTCCCGGGAAAGGAACCCGAGTTACCCCTGACCCGAGTTACCCCTGACGATTCGGGGCTCTCATCGATTCTCTGGCAGCCACGGCACTGGCAGCCCCTGCCCGGCCTCCCGCTCCTCCCCCAGAGGCCTGCGCACCGCCCGCCTGCTCCGCGGCGGCCCCCAGCAGCGGGCTGGCCCCCGGCGGGCCGCCGCCCATGCTGCGCGCCCCGCCACCCGGGCTCGGCGCCCCGGGCTCGGGCGCGCCTCCCGTCGGCCTCGGGGCGCCCGAGATCGACGAGAGCGACGAGACCGACGAGACGGCGAGGACGGCGACGACGAGATCGACGAGATGGACGAGGCGGCGACGACGAGATCGCGCGGCGAGGACGGCGACGACGAGATCCACGAGAGCCCAGGCAGGACGCCCGGCGCGCAGAGGGGGGTAGGGGGAGGGGGGAAGGCTTCTTAGAAGCACCCCTACTTCTTAGAAGGTGCGGGCCTTCTCTGTAGATGTAAGGCCGGCGCCTTCTAAGAAGCCGCCTCCTCCTAAGAAGCCTTCCCCCCTCCCCCTGCCCCCCTCTGCGCGCCGCGAAACAATGGGCCCCAGGTTCTGGGCCGGCCCCGCGCGGGCCCGCGAGGGGGCACTGCGTTCCCCCGCAGAGGCGACGACGAGCGGCCCGACGCGACCACGGCGACGGCGACGGCGGCTGCACGGCAGCTGCCGCTCGCGCGGGGGCGGGTGCAGGGAGGCGCCCTCGGCGCACCGCACCCTGCGCGGGGGGCATGCTCGCGGCGTGGACACGTCGGGGGGCCTGGGGCAGTCTTCCGGCTCATGGGGGCCCTCGCCGAGCCCTGGGACCGCCCGAAGACGACGCGGGATGAAACGCCGGCCTGGGGTACGGGGTCGGGACTTCCGGCCGGAATCCCGCAGTGGACGAATCGGGGCATCGCATGCCTGGGAGCGACGACGACAGCCGCTGGTGGCATGTGCGGGCATGGACCCCTCGATGCACAGCGGCCCTCTTCGGTCCTCGGCGTCACCACGGGCAATCCTCGGCGGAGCTGCGCGCGATGGGCGGGCGGTTGCGCCGCACCGAGGGGTCCACGAGCGAGCACATGGCCCCAGGCACGGGCCGCCGACAGCGGGCCTGGAGAGCCTCCGCAGAGCCGCGCGATCCGCCGCAGACGACCCAGACCTCCGACGGCCAGCCCCTGTGCCGCCGTGGGCTCCGGGAGCTCCCGGCTGACTAAACCTGCAGTCAGAAACCCTAATAAGGACGGGCGGTAAGGACGCAAGACCCCTGGAAGCCGAAGTTGGGATTTCTGGGGCGGCGGACGACGGGAACCTCAAGGACGCAAGAGCAAGGACGAACAAGGACGCAAGGGTACCCTGAGCAAAGTCGCGCGTCCTTATCTAGGGTGTTTGACTGTACCAAGTCACCCCAACCCAGCCCGACGACCTGCACTTCGGGTTTGGGAGGGGGGAGGGTACGGGTTCCACCTGTGTTTTTGTCAATGCTCCTCGACCCCCCCACTGGAACTGGAGGGTTCATGGAGGCCTTGGGGTTGGGCTGGGGTGGCCTGGTGGGTGGTGCCCGACCCGGCCAGCCCCCCCCCGCCCGAGGATCGCGTCTTCAGACGGCCCCGCGAAGGCCAGGCTCCGCAGAGACAGCCCCGCGAGGGCCCGGGATCGAGGCGGGCGTCTGGGCCGAAAGAGGCGGCCCCCGGACACCCGACGCCGCCATAGCCTCGCAGCCTTCCAGAAGACAACTCGGGGATGGACAGAACCCCCTTTAGCAAAACGTGGTTTAGTGAAAACGACCTCGGGCCCAAACCTGGCGGGCGCAAGCCTGGAAAATGACGGCCGCGGCGCCCTCTCGAGAACCGAAAACGGACAATGCACTAATCGACGTGTCAGGGTAGGAGGTCTGTCCACCCCCGAACAACAGTCACACTTGGAGCCCCAGACCCCGGCTTCCTGCGGCATCTCCCGAGCCGGATAGACCCACGAGATGGCCCCGTGGCCCAAAGCGGGGCGTGGAAGAGCTGTATCGCCCGGCCCTCGCCAGATGGGCTAGACACGGCATGGACATCGGTTCTCAGAGGTCCGGGCGGATTCCTTGGATCCGCGGTGGACCCCCTTCCCGTGAAGGGGCCCAGGGACATACAAATAAACACACACACACACACACGCACACGCACACGCACACGCACACGCACACGCACACGCACGCACGCACGCACGCGCACGCACGCACGCACGCACGCACGCACGCACGCACGCACGCACGCACGCACACGCACGCACGCACACACACACACACACACACACACACATACACACACATACACATACACATACATACATACACATACACATACACATACACATACACATACACATACACATACACATACACATACACGTACACGTACACGTACACATACACATACACATACACACACGCACAGACGCACACACACACACGCGCACACAAACACACACACAAATAACAGGATTCCCACTATGTTCTTATATATTTTCCGGGGTTTTGGTCGTCCCCCAATCTTCCTATAGCTTCCGATATGTGCCTGGGAACTGCCGATTCATAGCGTCTGTGTTTTTTGTTCCCCCTCCCGATCCCTGGCGCGCGGAGCGCGCCAGGGGGCAGCGTCGGAGGCGCCACCAGGGGGGGCCCGCACCGGCTGTGGAAATCCGTGCGCGACGTCGAGAAGTCGTGTGCACACCAGCTCTCGCAAAAAATAAGTCTGATCTCGGGTCGGGCGAAAGGGGGGGATAGCAAAGGGGGGGTTTGAGAATCAGCTCACGTAGCTGATTTTCCCGGCGCCTCCCGGCGCCGGAGGCGACTATGTATCGAGGAATGGGCCCCTCGGTGAGGCCGAAATCAGCTGCATGCAGCAAATTTCGTAACCCCCCCTTTCCCAATCCCCCCCTTTCGCCCGGCCCGATGATCTTTCTCGGCGGCGACGGGAAGGGCGAATAGCCCGGGAGCCTCGGGGGCGGGCATTACACGTGCTCGCCCGGGAACCTTGTCGACTACAGAGATCATCGGCGCCCCTGGATACAGGTACTGGTCTCCCCTGGGCTAGTCCGCCCCCATCGTCGCCTCTGTCTTTCTGGGGGCCTGCTTTCGGCTGTCCTGGGAGGGCTCCGCGGGCTCGGGCAGATGGCAGCCCGTTCACGGCTGCTCTTGGGGGGGGGCGTCCGCCACGTCTCGGCCAGGGGGGTTTTGGGCCCCCCGCCCCTTTTTGCTTGGGAGGGTCGGAGTATGCAGCGTCGTGCTCTTTAAGGGATGACAGAAAAACGACCCTACCCTGCCCTGGCGTACAAGCGCATGGTCTGTAAACCTCCTGGGAGCCCCCAGAGCCTAGAGCCGCCAGGACAAGGCACATCACGCAGGGTCTGCCCTGTCGGCCCACAGGAGTGTTTAGCGCACAGCGCCTCGTAAACCAGGGTAGGGGCGTTGTTTTATGCCCTTGGGTTCTTCCACTCGAGGCAGACGGCCAGAGGTCTGGGGAGGCGAGCCGCCGCAGAGGCCCGCGGGGTGCGCCCGTCGCGTTGCGCGCCGCCGCCGGCGGCGGCAGGTGCACCCACGCCTCGGGGGGCACCGTGGGCACGGCCCGCAGGCGCCGCTCCTCGGCGGCCTGGCGCGGTGGCTCCTCGACCAGGGCTCGGCCGAACCTTCCGTGCTCAGGGGAACGAAAAGTGACATAAACATAAAAACTCGGAGGTCCGCGCGGATTTCTCGGATCGTCGCACCTGGCGCGCTCCGCGCGCCAGGGACGGGGGTCCAGCGCCGATCCGAGAAATCCGCGCGGACCTCCGAGTTTTAATGTTTATGCCACTTTTTGTTCTCCTAGTGCTGGCTCTTGCGAGTAAACGCAAGCCGACGCTAGTCGACGCTACTCGGCGCTGGTCGACGCTCACTCGACGTCAATCGGCGCTTCCCCCATCGATTACCAGACGCTGGCGAACGCTAGTCCACCCTGTAAGGACAGAACTCCGAGGACGCACAAAAAGCTCCCACGAGTTGCTACCAGAGTAGACAACGTTTTCCATGCTCGTTCTGTTTTCGTGCTCCCTCGGCGTTTGGCTCGAGCCCTGTCCTCAACCTGCGCCAGGACCGCCGAGTTGGTGACCAGCAGCGCGACGCCGTAGAGGGCGTCCAACACGATCACGGCGATGGCGCCCTGCCGGAGGCCCCAGCAGCCGAGGAAGTGCTTCGCCGGCTGGCAGAAGGGCGGGAAGCACATGCCCTGGGCGGCGGGCAAGCGCCCACCAGCACCGGGCCAGTCCAGGCCCGCTCTTGAGGGCCAAATCCTGGAGCGTGCGGCCTCCCGGCCTTGCCGTGGGCCGGCGTGCCTCAAGACCTGGCCGAGCGGGCCTGGACTGGCCTGGTGGTGTGTGTCAGCCTTCTGTGGAGGGGGTGGGCTGGCCCAGGGGGGGACATCGTGCTGGAATCGGCGATGCATCGCCGACAGATCGGCGACAGGCCCTCGACGGCAAAATCGCACGGTCCTGGGCGGGGTGGGTTGTCCGGCCGCTGTCACCGTTGATCAAGTGAGTGGGGATCGATCCCCCCTGCGACAGGTCCGTGCCGTGACGACCCTGCCGATGGCTCCCGACTCCGCATGAATCGTTCAGGCCTGAACGATCCGCGGCTGTGTCACACCACACGAGGCGAATCCAACGGGGACGAGGGCCTCTGAGGAAACCCACAACGGGGAAAACGACGGACGGGTACCGGTAGGGGTACCTTTCCCCCGAAACTCTGGACCCCCGGCGGACTTTCAACCCAGAGACGCCGCGCACACACGACACGACACGAACCAGCAGCACCGCTGCCCCCAAGGATGTCCGCCTGCCGCGCGCTCCTCACTCGGCCGCGCCGCTGGTCCCCCGCCCGGAGGAGTGCTGGGCGCGGCTTCTCGCGGGCGCGCGCGCGCGCGGCGGGCCGCGCGGGTCGCGCGCAGGCTCGCGCCGCTGTCTTCGAGCAGCGGCGAATAGCAGAGGCGTGCCCTCCTCCTCGTCCTCCTCGCCCTCTTCCTCCTCCTCCCCCTTGGAACAGGTTCCCCCCTCATCCTCCGCTATTTGGCTCCAACTGCTGCCGCCCCTCCTTCCCGCCCTCCCCATGACTGCCCCGTGCCTCCATGGGCCTGCGCTGGAATGCCGCGCGCCCCCGCTTCCCCCGTCCATCCTGCCTCCATCCTTTTTTCATGCCTCCCCCCGTCCTGCTCCCCCCGTCCTCCTCCTCCTCCTCCTCCTCATCCTTCTCCTCCTCCTCCTCCTCCTCCTCCTCCTTCTCCTCTTCCTCCCCCTCCTCTTCCCCCTCCTCCCTATCATCATCACCATCAACCATCCCCACCACCACCGCCGCCATCACCGTCATCCTCATCATCAGCAGCATCACCATCAACATCATCACCATCAACATCAGAAGTAGCACCACCCGCAACATCAACGTCAGCGTCATCATAAACATCGTCATCATCATCATCACCATCACCATCATCATCACAACATCGTCGTCATCAACATAATCCACAACAGCAGCATCAGCGTCGTCATCCGCATAAGCTTGACCGTCATCATCCGCATCGCAATCGTACCCACCACCCTCATCAACGTCCGCATCATCTTTATTTACATCGCCACCACAACCACCATCACCATCTCTTCGTCAGCATCGCCACCGCCATCATATACATCAGCGTCATTCAACATCGGCGCTATCAATAGCATCAACATCGTGGTCATCGGCGTCATCGCCGTCGTCATCATCAGCATCACGCTCCCGCTCCGCGCTAACGACAGGTCGCCAGGCGGAGGCCCCAGCCGACGCGCGCGCGGGGGGCCGAAAGCGGCTAGGGCCTGGCGCGCGCGACCGGGCCGAGCGGCGCCGCTCAGCGGGAAGAGCCCCTCTGCGCGCCGCAGGGCACGATCGGCGCCGCAGACCTCGGAGAGGGCGGGGGCCGAAGCAACTGCAGAAGACCACGACGCCCGCGAAAACGAAAGAATAAGAGAGGGCATTCTCCCGCTCCGCGCTAGCGAAGGCTCGCCAGGCGGAGGCCGCGGCCGACGCGCGCGCGGGGCCCAATGTCAAAGTGGCCATGTCCCGGCGCGCGCGCGCGGGCAGAGCGGCGCCGCTCAATGGAATGAGATTCTCCGCGTGCCGAAGGGCGCCGTCAGCCCTGCCCGCGATCGAAGCACTCGCGCAGTAATTAGCTTCTGGCGGGCTGCCCCAAGTGGAACTGACCGCGCGGCAGGGGCAACTTTCAAGGTGAGGAGCGACGACGCGGCCGCCAGCTGCGGCGAAAGCCGTTTCGGAGCGCGGCGCGCCCAGAGCCGATAGCAAACTTTTCCACCGAGCACACGAGCCGCTCTGCCCGAAAGGCGAAGACGGAACGGTAAAACACGCGCGCAAGAACGCCAGCTCCACGCGGGACCCCGAGGAGCTCAGCAGCTGCCTTCAGGCGCCCCGCGCGCAAGGGTGGGCGCGGCGCGGCCCCCTCGCGCGCCGAAGGCGCCGGGGCGGGGCCGGCGCGGGCCGGCCGACCCCGCGCGCAACGGGGCGGCAGGCGGACATCTGGCCCCGTGGGCCAGGGCCGCCAGCAGCGGCCACGGACCGGGCCTTATAGGGGCGGCCTCCAGCTCCGCGAGCGCGCCAGGGCAGCGGACGGCGATGGAAGGAAGGGCCTCGGCACGAGCCGCCCCTCCCAGGCCGCCGCCAGACGGGCCGCGGTGCCCGAACAACGCGTTGCGCGGCCAGCGGGCGTCGGCAGAGGGGCGGGGCGGGGCGTTGCGCTGCCCGAACGTGCGGGTGCGAACCCGCACGTTGGCGCGGCGTCGCGGGGCGCGCCGCGTCCTCGGGCGCTGCCCCTAAGGGCGCCCCGCCGACGACGCGACCCACCCCCTGCGGGGTCGCAGCAGCAGCGCTGGAGGGGCGCGCGCCTGCTGAAAGGAGCGAAGCGCTCTCCGGCTCAAGAGTCGAGGGCGCGCAGGGAGCAGTCGCGCGGGGCGCGGGGGCCGGGGACGAGGGCGCCTCTCGGGCGTGTGGGGGGCGGCGGACGCCGGCCCCGCTTCCGCCCCGCCCAGGCCCGGCGGCCCGAGGCGGGGGCGAGGGGGCTGGCTCGCGCCAGGGGCCTCGCGCAAGCCTTGGAGGGCGCGAGGCTGGGCTTCCCCAGGGTCGGCCAGCTGAGCGCCACCACAGCGCGCTGCGCCAGCGCGCGCGCGCCGCGGTGCCGCCGCCAACGCCCCCGAGACCTACCCGGCGCCAGCGATGGGCTCGAGAGCGGGGGCCGGAAGACGCGGCCGGGGGTCGCCGGGGAAGGGCCCCTCAAGAGAGGGCCTCCCCGAACTGGCGCGCGGAGAGACACTCGCTGGGGAGCAACGGCGCCCTGCCCAACCTGGACATCGACGTTCGCGCCTGGGAACAGAAGCAGAAAGGCCGAAAGGCCAGCGACGAAGGGCGCGACCTCGGCAGCGGCGGGAGACGCGGCCCGGCACTGGGCGGCAACCCAGCGCCAGAGCTGCCAGGGCACGAGGGGCCCGAAAGCCCAGACGGAGCCTGAGGGGTGCCCGAAACGGAACGAGAGTCCCCGCCGCGGAACGCGCCTCTCCCAACGGGGCCGCGGCAGCATCGCCGCAGTCGCGCTCAGCCCAGGCAAGCTCGGCAGCCGCGACGCAATCGACCCGATCGACTCGTCGCGACTCCTCCCCGCGGCAACCACGCGCGAAATGCGCCCGCCTCCCCATCGGGCCCTGCTGGCCTTTTCGGGGGGGGGTGTTTGGAGGAGGCCCCCGAAGGGGCAACCGCGGCCTCGGCTGGAATCGAAGACTGCGGCGGGGGGCTCGCCGCGACGGGTGCTGGAGCGGGCGGGCCGCCCCCCAGGCGCAAAGCGGCCGACGCCTTCGCGCGCGCTCCAATGGAGGCGCGAGCCGCGGCGCCCTGGGGCTGGGGCCCCAGGAGCGGCCCCTGCCGCGCCGCAGGCAAGCGCGTCCGCAGGCAAGCGCGCCGCTCCGCCGTTTATCCAGGGTGCCACCTGCTCGGCAGCTGCCTTCGACAGCCCGACGACCCCGCCGTCGTCCTCCACGCCGAGCGCGGACCCGCCGAGCGCGCCGGATCCTGGGGGCGGGGAGAGCGGCAACGATGCTGGCCGAGGCCGAGCTGAAGGCTCCACTTCCAAGACGGCCCCCCGCTCTGATGCCGGGCGGCCGCCCCGCCGCCGGGGGAGGGGCCGGCGAAGGCTGCCCGGGAGGGGTCCGCAAACCGGAAGACCTCGCAGGCAGCGTCCGCCTGCGCCACGGGCGAGTCGGCCACGGCCGCAACCTCGCGCCCCCCGCGCGAAACCTCGGCGAGGACGACGCCGACCCCGTGGCAAGGCGGCGGGGACAGGGAGCCCACAAAGGACGCACGCGCCCAGCTATGTACACGAACGCGGCCCCTCGATCCGCGAGACTGGCCGCGTGATACGAACACTCGGGCAATGCGTGCTCTCGAAACCAGCGTGGATTCATGTATGTGCACGTCTTGTTTTCGCTCCTGAGGGGACGGGGTACACAGAACCGGGTCGGCGGTGGACAAAACTCCCTTTAGTAAACCTCCCCTTAGTGAGAACGGCCTGGGACCGAAACCGACGGACCTGGACCCGCAAAAATGACGGCCGCGACGCCCTCTCGCGAACCGAAAACGGCCAATTCACTTATCGACGTGTCAGAGTAGGAGGTCTGTCCACCCCCAACCGAGGGCGGACCCGAAACCGCGGCCCACGTGCTGCCCTGTTCCAGCGACAGCGGCGGCCCGCGCGGGATTCCGATTCCGATCGGCACCGCGCGGGCGACGCCGCGCGGGCCCCGACGCGCAGAGCAGCCGGGCCCCGCGGCGGGCCCTTCCGCCGTGCGCGCGGCACCGAAGGCGGTTGCAACCCTGGAGGAGGAGGAGGAGGAGGAAGGAGGAGGAGGGAAGAGCAGGAGGAGGGAGGAGGAGGAGGAGGAGGAGGAGGAGGAGGAGGAGGAGGAGGTCTCTTCCCTTTTGCGATGGGGTCGGACGACCTCTGGGAGCGGATGGCAGCGCTGCCCGTGGCCCAGGCGGCTTTCGGCGCGGCGGCGGCGGCGCTGGGGGGCCAAGGCGGCACCAAGGCGCTGTCCGTGGTGGTCGCGGCGGCGGCGCGCGGAGCGGCCCAGGGGGCCGCCGCGGGCGCCGCTGGAGCAGGTGCTGGCGCTTCGGACTGCAGCGGAGGGGCCAAGGGCGAGATCGAGATGCTCGCCGAGGTCCTCGACGCGGTCGGCGAGAAGTCGAACTTGGAGTGGCCAATCTCGGTCCAGGACGCCAAGGGCATCCTGCGGGACGGCGGGGCGCGGTCGTTGGCCTCCCGTCTGGGGAGGCTTAGCAAGGCGCGCAACGCCAGGGGCCATCCCGACGTAAGCCTGGCGAGGGAGGTGCGCGCCCACTTCGTCGCCAAGGCTGCCGGCGGCGACAACGCCCAGGAGCACCCGGAGCCGATCGCGAGGGCCTCGACGGTCAACGTGAATGGCGACGGTGAGAACGTACAGATGAAGTCGAAGCAGGACGTGGGCAAGGTGAAGCAGACCCAGGAGCTGAAGCTGCACCTTGTCGGCAGTGGTCAACTCCCCGTGCAGATCTTCGAGCCCGAGCTCGAGAACAAGTGCGTGGAGCTGCAGATGATGAAGGCGGAGCTGGCGGCAGAGACGGCAGCCAGAGCTGCGTCGGCATCAGAAGTGGAGAAGTTGCAACAGCAGGTCGTGGCTCTGCACACGAAGCTGGACAGCAACGCGGCGAAGGCCTCCGAGTATAAGGACATGGTCGCGGGGCTTGAGGCTGAACTTGCGGCCGCGAGGGAGGCGATGGCTTCGGCGACCACGGGCAGCCAGCAGCTGGCGGAGCAGATCGTGGAGCTGCAGGCCAAGAAGGAGGAGGCGGAGCAGGTGCAGATGCGCCTCCGCGAGGCGCTCGCTGACGCCGAGCGGAGGATCGAGGAGGAGTCGAGCAGGGCCGCCGAAGCCGTCGATCTCTGTCAGGGGGCGTTCCATCTGGCACGGGAGGCGGCGACAGGCAGTGGCTCCGCGTCTGAGTCGGCGTCGAGACCGTCGAGGACGAAGCGGCGCTGAGGGACGCTGCGCCTAGGGGCGCACGTGCGCCTCGGGCCCCCGAGGCAACAAAACTGGTTCGGCCAACGGTGGCAAAAAAAAAACAAAAAAAAAAAAAGGAGGAGGAGGAGGAGGAGGAGCGCGCCAGGGCGAGGCGACCCTCGGGCTGCTCTGCAGATGGGGGCGCCGAGCTTGCGAAGCCGCAGCAGGCAGTGGGGACGGCGGCGCGAAACTCCCCCTTGGGGGGGCCGCAAAGAGGGGGGTGTCCAAGAGGGGGGGGTGCAAATCATGGCCGGCGGCACGTGCGCGGCCCAGGGGGGGGCCGGGGACGTATTCAAATGAGTAGAGGCGCCATGAGATCTGGGGAAAAATCATGGCCCACGCCATGATATCCACCCCCCCCTAGTCATCACCCCCCTCTCTGCCGCCCCCGACCTTGGGGGGGCCGTTGCAGCATCGCTGGAGCGCCGCACGCCAGCCATCGGAACTCCGCCCGGGGCCGCGCGCTGTCCGCCGCCGGAGCCGGCGCGCAGGAGGCGCGCGGGGCGAGCCGGCGGCGAGGGCCGCTGCAGAGGGCTTCGGGCGAACCACTGGCCATCGCTCGGACGTCCATTTCCCGTGTTTTTTTGTCGGTTTCGTGCGTGGCTTTTTTTCGCCAAATGGTCGAGGATGCTCCTCGATGGTCCTCGCCGAAGGAAAAATGCGCACGTCCGAGCGATGCCAGGAACCAAGGGCACGGTGAACGCTTTGGCGGCAGCGTCAGCCAGCGCCGACGGAACCCTGGGATACCGCGGCGCGCCGCGAGAGCTCGAGCGAACCTGGCTGCTCGAGGGCGGCTCTGCGCTTGCAGTCGAGGGCCCTTGGAACGGCGACCGGGCCCTGCCAGTAGAGACCGCGGGTGCAACATCCGCAGTGGACATGCTCGAAGCGGCCTTTCTGTTCACCTTCGCCAAACGCGGCGGCGAGGGCAGGCGCAAGGGAAGCCTCGGGAGCTGCCGCCACGAGAGCCTCATGAGGCAAGTCTGCGTGCGAGTGGGTCGCAAAAGTGAACGCGAACGGTGAATGATTATGACGCGAGCCGAGACGCGATGTTGCAAGCAAAGAAAGCAAGATGATGAACAAGCACGGCAATGATAGAAAACACACGCTTTCCTCAATGATTCCAAGAGCTTCCGTCACGGAAACTCTTCGGTACATTCTACAGGTTAGAGCATCCGCCACAGAAGCTCTCGTTTGGGTTATTTTGAATAGGCTTGGAGAGGGGACCACTCTTGAGTAAACGAGCTACGCGAAACTAATATTGGTGCGCCAGCGCAGGCTACGCAATGCAAGCTACGCGGCGCAGTCTGGGTGATCTGGGTGGTGTTAAGATCCATGCGGCGCAAGCTACGAGGTGCTTGCCTTGAGGTGCTGATTATGAGGTGTAATGCATGCGGTGCGGGGCGAAGACATGGCAACCGTGGAGTACTCGGCCGGGAATAGCGCCTTTAGCGGGGATGGCCTCTTCGCCGGGGATCACGTCTGTCTACACTCGGAATAACGCATTCGCCAGGAATTGCGTCTTCATAAAGGATCGCGCTTTCACCGAGAAGAGGCGTCTTCGGAAGGCGTCGTCGCCAGGAAGAGCACTGTCGCTGAGAGTATCGTCCTCCCCCAGAACTCTGTCTTCGCAGTGGTTCGGGCTTTCCACGCGAACTATGTCTGAGCCCAGGCACCGCCTGCGCAGGAACTCACGGGCATCGAGCACAATGAGACTAGCGTCTTCGCCATGGATAACGCCTTCGAGAGCCTTTTCCGTCTTCGGGCGCCCATCCCCTTGCTGAATGGGTACGCCCATGAGCTTCGCTAAGGCTTCGCGAACGGGACCTCCCCCCCCCACCTGTTGTCCTGGCCCTGTCGGCGTGGCGTGGTGGTGGATGCCGGTGCCCCCCCTCCCCCTGATGGGTATGGGGTGGTTCGTCGTCGTCGTCGTCGTCGTCGTCGTCGTCGTCGTCATCCCTCGGCGTCGTCGCCCCCACCCCCGTCCCATCTTGGGGGGGGAAAGGGGGGCCTGTGGAACCCGGGGGTCCATACCAGGGGGGGGGGCAGGCCTGCGAACCCTTGACCCGAGATCAGATTTAGACACATGATCTGGAGGAGGAGGAGGAGGAGGAGGAGGAGGAGGAGGAGGAGGAGGAGGAGGAGGGGGATGGGGTGGAGGTGGAGGAGGAGGAGGATGGGGGGGAGGAGGAGGAGGAGGAGGAGGGCGTCCCCCCTGGAGAAGCTGGGGGGGGGCTTTGGGGCGGGGCCACCTCTCGCGACACCCGAACTCGTGCGCGCCGACAGAGGCAGTCGAGGGGAGGGGGGGGGAGGAGGAGGAGGAGGAGGAGAGGAGGAGGAGGAGGAGGAGGAGGAGGAGGAGGAGGAGGAGGAGGAGGAGGAGGAGGAGGAGGACGGAGGAGGAGGAGGAGGAGGAGGAGGAGGAGGAGGAGGAGGCATCGAGCGCGCGCGCGGGCGCGCGCGCCAGTTTCCTGCGATTATCGCCCCGCAGGCGCGCTCCGCCGATGGGCCGCAGCTGCACTCATTCGGAGCAGGCGTCCATCTCGGGGCGGCGGCAAGGATGGGTACAGTCTTGGAGGCTCGCACGACGACGACGTCGACGTCATCGTCGGCGTCGTCGTTGTGAAGAGGCACGCGATGACTATTGTGACCTCCTCGACGGGCGCCTTGAGGAGCCAGGCGGGGACGGTCCGGGCCGCGGTCTCACTGCCCGCCGCCGCCGCTGCGGAAGTGGGGCACCACGGAGTCGAAGAGGACGCCGCACATGCCGCACACGGGCACCGGGTCGGTCTCGCCCTGAAGGGCCCACCGAAGAGAGGGGGGGGCCGTGAGGGGAGTGCAGCCTCGACAGGAGGGGGCGACGGGATACGAGGGGGAGGGGCGGAGGAGAGGTAGGCGGCGGCGCTCCGTAGAGCCCGGGGGCATGTGGAACTATGGAGAAGATCAAGGGTAACCGTAACCCCCTCGTGCCCTTTATGGTCGGCACGGTTCCTGGCGCGGGGCACGAACGCCGTGCCTGGGGAGCCAAGAAAGGTGCCGATGGCGCTGCTCCCGGGACCTCTCCCGCGGTGCTCTCTGACCAGGACTCCGAGACGAACCCAGCGGTGGCGACGAGAGCAGCCCAGGAGGCCCAAAAACGGGAACACGAAGGAAGGGCGGAGAGGTATCGGGGGCGGCCAAGAGGGGGGGGTCCAAGAGGGGGGGTGTGCAAATCATGGCTGGCGGCATGTGCGCGGCCCTGGGGGGTGGGCCAGGGACGCAATGAAATGAGAAGAGGCGCCGTGAAATCTGGGGAAATATCATGGCCCCCGCCAGGAGATCCCCCCCCTAGTCATCACCCCCCTCTTTGCAGCCCCCGACAGTTCGGGGAGACGTAAGACTCGGGTACGGGGAACTCGGGTTGGCCTGACGGGGGCCATCATAAAAATGACGAGACCCAATCTGAAATTTGACGCGGGCTCCCGCTGCAAGCACCCCACGAAAACGGGACCGTCAAAATCCAGGACGTGCTCGTCAAAAAGAAGTCGGCAAACCCGAGATCCGGCTTACTCGAGTCTTACGTTTCCCCGAAAGGCAGGGGTACCCCAGGATTCTCGGGGTAGCCCAGACGGCCTCCAAAGCACCCCTCACGAGGCCCAGAGGGCCCCAGGGGCTCCAAAATGGAGCGAAAAGCTGGGGGCACCTTGGGAAAGGGGTACTTCTAGCAACACCCGAGCGATGCCCCAGGGGGCCACCGGGACAAACAGGGGGAGGGGCGTGGCGGCCCGAGACCAGGAGGGTCCAGGAATGCAAGGACGAAGCATCGACTCCCGCTCCTGTATGCTAGAACCCGCACACATGGACACACACACACACACACACACACACAAACACACAACACAACAAAAAACACCCACGGGATCCGTGGCTCCCGGGGCCCCTCTGGACGCCCCTGCAGAAGGCTCCCCCGGGCTTTCTGGGGCTCCTGGAAGCCCATGCTGGGCGTAGACAACGGGCCCAACTCGGTCAGGAAGGCTGCTGAACGGCCCCGCGAGAGCCCCAAGAGGCCCCAGACATCCACCAGACGCCCGACGACGACCCAAAGACGACCCCCGAGAGGCCTTCGAAATTTGAAAAGCAATGGTTGCCCTTGGTCTTTGAATGATTTTGGAACTGCTATGTTCTTTGGTTTTCCGGGCGTCCGAGCCCGCCCAAGAGACCAGAAAACCAAACAAAAATACCAAAGGGCCCAACAAAGCACCAAGACGGCCCAACAGGGCACCAAGTCGGCCCGAAGAGAGCCCCATGCCGGCCCAAGATGGCCCCGAAACACTCCCAATCGTGACCCAGTCGTTCAGGAAGACCGCGATTGGAAGCAGGGAGTGTGGCCCGAGGAAGCCTCCGGAGACCCCCAGAAGGAACTCAGGAGCCCTCAAGAAGGCCCCAAGAAACAGTTTAAAATCTTTTGGGAGGCCTCCAACAAGATCTCCAAGAAGGAGCCTCCAAAGAAAGAGCTGAGGATCGGAACGATTTCGAAGGGTAGGGCAGCGAGAATGAGGATGAGGAACGGGAAGTATACGTATAAGAGAACTACTACGAATAGCATTGTTAGAACGACGATGCCGGAAAAAGTCAATAAGGACTTATCGCTAAAATGATAGTTTTACCTTCCTGCCCTGCGGCCTGCATGCCAAGCATCAAGGGCCAAGGTGCACGGCGCGAAGCGCCGATGCAGTCTTGTTCATATATAAATACACATAGAGAGAGAGAGAGAGAGCAAACAAAAGAGAGAGAGAGAGAGAGAGCGAGCAAGAGAGAGAGAAACAGAGAGAGAGAAAGAGAGAGAAGGCGCGCTTCTGCAGTTGCGTCGTTTGTTTCCCAGGTATTGTCCCAACGAATGCGGGGACAACATCGAAGTCGAAAGGGGCAGGCACTGTCAAGGCTCGCAGCGACAGCAAGGCGGCACAACAACTTGCCAATACAACTGAGGTCAGACTGGACACTGTGACGGATGCGACATTCACCACCACTGTCCGTGTGGCTCACTTGTCATCCTCGGCCAGTCGCTTCGATCACCTTCTGGCTCTCAAGATCGCGGCGCCCAGGCGAGCGGGGGCCAGCAAACGCACGCTTCTTCTGGACCGATTCGACGGCTGGCTCCAGCGGCCCCCTCTTCTCGTATCTCATCGGTGTGACGCAACGGCGCTTCTTACAGTCGAACATCTTCTGCCTGCGGAACAACCCTACAACTTGCGGCACCCCACAACTGCATTGCATATTCGCCCACGCCGCCACATATAGCCACGATAATGGCCATGCACACTGCCATGCACAAGAACGTGTCGGCGAACCCCAAATGGTGGTGCCCCGTTTGGGTCGTGACACTCGGAAAGTCCTTTGAGGACAGCGACCGACCTACGGAACTGGTCCCAATCTCGATCTGCACCGTGCAAGCTGCCTCAGGCAACCTGACCTTCTGGTTTCAAAATATGCAGAGCTTGGGCGCCAACTACGTTTTAGCACTTCTATCTGTGAACTCAACATTGACCAACTTGTCACCGCGGCCCTGTCACTGCACTCACATCCCCCTCATGTTCCCTTTCCTCGACCTCCTCTTCCTTTCGTCCCCATTCATCCGAGATGTCTGGGGGTGTGCGCAGGTCCCCAGACACCTCCATGCGCATCAACAGGCTTCCAGAACGGACGCGTCAGACCAACAGCTCCCGAAACGCTGAATCCTCGATCCTCGTCTCCCCCCTCCTTCCTCTTTGGGGGCGGAAAGATACGGATACGTGTTGTCCCCGGACCTCTCTTGGGGTGCGTTCTGACCAGAATTTCGAGGCGAATCCAGCGGTGACAACGAGGATTCCCCAGGAGGACCAGGAAAGGCCGAAAACGAAGGGGGACGACACGTATCCGTATCTTTTTCTCCCCCGATCCCTCCTCCTTCCTCTCCCCCCGCCCTCCCTCCAGCTGGGCCCCACGCGCGCCTGGCAGGCGACACCCTTCTGCGGGTCGTTGTTCATGCCGCAGTACGTGTCCTCGGGTGGGCAGGGGTCCCCCCGCTCGGCGCACGTGCGGTGAGCCGGCGCGCCCGCCTACAAAGGGGCCCCAGGACACACACAAATAAATGCACACAAATAAACATATCCCCCATACGTTCCTATATGTTGGGGCTTTTTGTCTCCCCCCCACTTCCTATATTTTCCAACATTTTCCTGGAAATCGACGATTCATTGTGTCTGTGTGTTTTTCCCCTCCTGCGTCCATACGAAGGCCGCGTGCTGTAAACACACTCGGCCACATATGTATCCAGCTATCGTCCAGGCCGGCCACGTCATGTATGGTCAGCCTCCTGGTCCAGACATGGCCACAAGAACATTGATCGAGAGAGCGAGTGAAGCATCACTAGTCGAATCGGTAGCCGAGGCCAGGACGGGAGAAGTCAGCAGGGGGACAGAATGCGAATCCTGCCCCTCCGCGTGAACAGAGCAGCCGCCGAGGCGGCTCCAGGGCAGTTCGCACACGGCCCCTCCCGAGGGCACGGCGCGGAGGCAGCTGCCACGTGCCGCACTTCGGCCCGCGGGCCGAGCAGGGGCAGGCGCGAGAGCCGCCCGACAGCAGCTGGCAGATCCGCCACCACGGTCCGTCGGATCCCTCCCCCGAGTCCGCCCCCCCGCCCGACGACCCCGACTCCACCCCTCGCCATCGCTCGGACGTCCACTCCCTGTGTTTTTTGTCGGTGTCGTGCGTGGTTTTTTTTTCGCCAAACGATCAAGGGTGCTCCTCGATGGTCCTCGCCGAAGGAAAAATGCACACGTCCGAGCGATGCCAGGAACCAAGGGCACGGTGAACGCTTTGGCGGCAGCGTCAGCCAGCGCCGACGGAGCCCTGGGATACCGCGGCGCGCCGCGAGAGCTCGAACGAACCGGGCTGCTCGAAGGCGGCTCTGCGCTCGCCGAAGGAAAAATGCACACGTCCTAGCGATGCCAAGACCCTCCCAGGTCGAGGGGCCGCGCACCTTTCGAGGCGCAGGGCAGCGGCGCAGCCCGCCGCGGCGGAAGGGCAGAGGGGGTGGCAGGCGCAGCCTCTCGCCCGCAGCAGGCCGCACAGCAGCGCCAGGGAGCGGGGGCGACCTCGACGACGAGGCACTGGGCGATCCTCCTCCTCCTCCTCCTCCTCCTCCTCCTCCTCCTCCCTCCTCCTCCTCCTCCTCCTCCTCCTCCTCCTCCTCTGCCCTTGGATGCTCGCCTCGCGTCGCGTGGACAGACCCCCCTTTAGTAGAACGTGGTCTAGCGAAAACGACCCGAGGCCAAAACCTGGCGGGCGCAAGCCTGGAAAATGACGACCACGGCGCCCTCTCGAGAAAACCGAACACGGACAATTCACTAATCGACGTGTCACTGTTGGGGGTTCTGTCCGCCCCCGACGACTGACGACGAGGCACTGGACGATCGGCACCTGCCCTTGGATACTCGCCTCGCGTCGCGTGGCCAGACCTTCGGACATGGGCGTCAAGAGTCGTTGCGCGCCACGCCAACGCACGCGGACGCCAGGCCACGGCCCTGCCCACCAGGCAAGATCACAACACAAGCACGGAGCTGGCAACTCATAGTTCGGCCGTGCTGTTCGGGTCCGTGACCACAGCCATGGAAGACCGAGAGGCCGTCCCCACAGGACCTCGTCCCCAGGCTTCCGAAGAGGGTCAGAGGAGGGAGGCGGCGCCAGGACATCCACTGGCCTCGACGGAGCGGGGTTTCGGGGAGCTTCCCAGGAGCTGGTCAGCAAACGTCGTCGCGGCTGGCAAAGCTGGAGTCGAGTCGGATACCGAGTTCGGAGTAGCCTCTCGCATCTGCTGGAAGAAGGCCTGGGCTCTCCACTGCTGCATGGCCGTTGGCGAACACTGGCGACTTGCCCCCCCTTCGCAGACCCTTCAGGGTCTGTTCGGTGGCCCCGGTCATACTACGACGCGTCAAGAAGATGGGAAAGAGGACGGGGTCTGGGAAGCCTCAACGGAGTGTGAAGTCGAATTGAGAGACAGGGACGAAGAGAGGGATTGGGGCGAGGCAGAGGGTTGAAGGCGAGGGTTGGGTAATGCGGCTGGGGCCGAAATTGAAGAGCTGGATAGATAAGGCAGTCGAGGAGAGTGAGGGGACAAAGGTCAGAAAAGATTCGGGAGGAGGTGCTTGGAACAAAAAACTGAAAGGAGGGAGGGTTGAAGATGTGAATTGGGATGATCGTGGAGAAAATGAGGCGGAAAGGGGGTGGGAAAGGCCAGGCGAGTCGAACCTAACGAGGATGGACGCAGGAGGAGCAGGAGGAGTAAGAGGAAGAGGAGGACACCAGGAGGACCAACGAGGAGACATGAGTGCATTCACATCCAGAACATGTGGAGGCCACCCGCTGGATAAATACGCATGCGGGGAGCTGGCGTGCCCGGGCACACGAAGTGGGAGGACTGAGCGCTGCAAAGATATGCGGCCAATGCACAGGCCATAGGCAGCGCTGGAGGTGCAGGCGGAAGCGCAAAGACTGGGAGGCACCGAAGCGCTGAGGCGAAGCCTCGGCACAGCATGCCTGTGAGCACCACAGCATGCTTGTGAGCACCACCGCATGCATGCGAGCACCGCAACATCATGTTTTTTGGTTTGGGGGGGATATTGGGACGCCCGCCAGACGGGGGATAGGGGGACGCCCGCCAAACGTTCGTGACCGTCACGGACAATACGGGCTCACCGAATGCAGAAAAAGAGAAGGCGAGGAGGCAAGGGACGAGGTCCCCAAGGCGTGGGTGGGAGGGAGGCGGGGTCACCTTCTGTATGAGGCTTCAGGGGCCATCCGAACCTCTCCTCTTCCTACTCTTCCTCCTCCCTGGAGGATTTTCCTTGCTCCTCCTCCTCTTCCTCCTCCTCTCCTCCTCCTCCTCCTCCCCTCCTCCTCCTCCCTCCTCCTCCTCCCTCCTCCTCCTCCTCTCCTCCCTCCTCCTCCTCCTCCTCCTCCTCCCTCCTCCTCCTCTCCTCCTCCCTCCTCCTCCTCCTCCTCCTCTCCTGCTCCTCCCTCCTCCCTCCTCCCTCCTCCCCTCCCTCTCCCTCCTCCCTCCTCCTCCTCCTCCTCTCCCTCCCCTCCTCCTCTCCTCCCTCCCTCCTCCTCCCTCCTCCCTCCTCCCTCCTCCCTCCTCCCTCCTCCCTCCTCCTCCTCCTCTCCTCCTCCCCTCCTCCTCCTCTCCTCCTCCTCCTCCTCCTCCTCCTCCTCCTCCTCCTCTCCTTCCGTAGCCGTTTTAGCCCAAGTCTCCTCCTGGTGGCTTGGCAGCGCGGCCCCGCAGCCATCTTGCCCTGCGGCGGGCGCCCACCGTGCCATAGCCCAGACGCCAACTGCCCGCGTCACGGGCGCTCGCGCCTGCCCCGAGCGCCGGTCGCGCTCGCCTGCCCGGCACCGCCGTCTGCGGCGGCGCCGCTCGCAGGCACGCTTCGCCCTGCGCTGCGCGGCCGCGCGCAAGATCTTGGCTGGCAATCGCGGAAAACCCGCGGGACCAAGGTGTCATGGCAGACCCGCCGTGGAAGCAGGACAAGGCAGCCGCCAAAATGCCTCAGCGGTCCTGCGTCGCCACCACGCGCTGCAGCTTCAGCACCCATTTTGGCAACCGTGACGCCTCTGGAAGTGCGGGCGGGATCGTGCCGGGCGCCTACACAATGCCGAGGATGCGGCCAAGCCCCCCAGCGCGCGCGCCGTCCGCTGGCCGCAGGCGTCGCTCTGGGGCTCCTGCAGCCGCTGGCGCAGCCGCGGCCCCGCTGTCCTCAGGGCCCGCCAGGGTCTTCAGGCCCCCCAGCAGCTCCAGTACGGTGGCGACCACCCGCTCATCATCGTGGCCAAGGCCGACTTGGCGACTCTCGAGGCTGAGGAGCGCAAGTCGCAGCCACCCGAGGTGCTCCTCTGCTACCTGCAGCAGCGCCGCGTGGACGCCAAGGCCGCCCAAGGCAACGCTGACGCCGACCTGGAGCAGGCCCTGGCCCACGTCGACCGGCTTCGCCAGCACCAGGCGCAGTGTGCAGCAGAGGCGGGCAGCTTGGAAGCCGAGCCGGCTGCTGCCCAGCCTGCCGTGGCCACGGCTGCTGCGGGGTCCAGCGGCGTCGACCTGGCCAACCTCACCTCCACCCTCGTCGGCTCGCAGGGTCTGCTCAGCGCTGCTCCCGCCCGCGTGGCCGGCGGGCAGGGCGCCGCCGCCCTCGAGGCCATCAACAGCCAGGCCATGGCCATGGGCGCGGCCTGTCGTGGTGCTCACGCTCTCCGGGCAGCAGCCCCCGCCGTCGCTCTGCCAGTGGGACCCCCCGCTGCCCCAGTCGCCGCCGAAGGCGGCGCCGAGGGCGCGGGTGCCGGCGAGCTCCGCGCACCAGCTGCCGCGGCCTCTGCCCCAGTCGCCGCCGCAGGCGCCGCTTTTCGCTCGCCAGGGGGCGGCCCCACAACTGCGAGGACTGGTGCACCCACTGCTTCTCCAGCCAAGGCCACGGTCCCCTCGCGGGCGCGTCACCTGGCAGACTCGGGCGGGACATCCCCTTCTCTCGAAGAAGAAAAAATCACATGAACCTAAACTTTTGGCGCTCCACGCGGACTTCTTGGATCCGCGCTGGACCCCCCGGCGGCGTCTTCGGCGCCGCCCCTAGCGCGCTCCGCGCGGCAAGGAGGGGGGCCCAGCGCGAGTCCAAGAAATCCGCGCGGCGCGCCAAAAGTCAATGTTGATGTGGCTTTTTATGTTTCGATTCTCCGCCTTCGCAGCCCAGGCAGTGCAGGGCTGGTGGAGCAACTGACGTTCCCACATGCTGCTGCTCATCGTGCTGGGCTCGGTGGTACTCGGCGCCTTGGGTTTCCTGGAAAACCCGCCGGCGTTCTGCCGGTGGCGCGGGCCGGGGCGAGAGCGGCCAAGCTCGGGGCCGACGGGAACTGCGTGGCACTCTCACGGGCACGCAAATATGGATTATCGATCCATGGATTCGGCGCGCGGTCGCCACATCCATGGATCGGGGGAGGCGCCCTCCCGAAAATGCGGCCGGCACGGCGGCGTTCTGCGGCGGGGATCCGCGTTCCCCCATGGAACCAGGACCCGTCGCTAATCCACGCCCCTTTGATCCATGCTCGCGATCGCGTGAGCGTGGCACTCTTAGATCGCTAAGGCCCAACTCATCCCCCGCGCGCATGGGGCGCCCACCGCCGCCCGATGCTCACGACGACGGCCCTGAAGGAATATTTCGGGATGGCGTCGTGGCTGGAGCGACGCGCTGGATTCCTGAGCACTCCTGCGCGGAGTCGGGCGCCAACATCGCATGGCTCCGCGGCTCCCACCCCCATCCTCCGCCGCCGATCCTGGGCCCGCCGACGGGCCTCCGCCCATGAAGCGAGCCGAAGCCTTCTGAGGGTTCGCGCGGGGAGGCGTCCCCTGGGCTGCTCGGGGCGCCGACCCGCCCGACCGCCGCCCCCCCCCGCTCAATGCCCCGCTGGGCCCGAAATTGCCAGCCTGGAACATATCCTCATCCCTATGCTGGGCATCTCCTCGCCACGATGCCAATCTTAAGGGTCCCGTTTTTTTTTTTGAAGGCGAGTCCCTAAGATTATCATCGCCTTTTGGCGTGTCGTCTCATCACGATGCGAATCTTAGGGATAGGGATAAGTTCGAGGCTGGTGACGAAAGTGCTCGTGGACATCGCGCCCCGGTGGCTGGCGCCCCTGCAGTCCGCCATGCGCTGTGGTGCGCGGGCCCTGCCGACGGCCCCTCGCCCCCGCCTGCGGGGTGAGTGCTCGGGTCGCACATCCAGCAAGGATGGTGCGCATGTAGAGAAAGTACCTCGAGCTGGGTGAGGATCCTTCTCTCGGGGGGGAGGGAGGGCCATCCCCGCCCTCTCGCTTCCGATGGTGCCCTGCTTTCGGCTTCGTCTTCGGTAGTTCGATTGACTGCGTTACTTTATCTCGTCGTCGAGTCGCGCGTGCTCGTATTTTGCATTCGTCTGCCTTTTCCCCGTTTCCTGTCTGGGCGCGCTCGGATTCGATTCGGTGGTGCCTCCTCCTCTCCTCTCCGCTCCGCTCCACTCCGCTCCTCTCCTCTCCTCTCCTTTCCCCTCCTCTCCTCCTCCTCCTCTCCGGGGAACAGCCTGGGGCGCTACAGAGTCTAGAGCATCTCAAACTTAGAGAAACGACGTGGCGAGGGGCGCTACCTGCAACCGCCATTAGCCACGCCCCGCGGATCACAGTGGAAGGGCACCGCAAGAACGACGCGAACGTGCGCGGGAACGCGATGGGCCTCGCCACTGTGGGGCGGGGCAACCCGCCGCCCCGCGAGCCCGCGAGCCCCTGGAAAGCTAGGGGCCGCAAGCGCCTGGCGGGGCCCGAGAGAAATAAACAATCACCAAACAGAGAAAAGAAGAGGCGCCAGGCTCCAGGATACTCCAGATTTCGTAATAAAAGGGAGGGGGTCTGGACCCTGCAAGACAAGCTATTTCAGACCTCCCCCGTGGGAGAACCCTCCAAAACATCGTCCCCAGACCCCCCAGGCCCTCCAAGATAGCCTGGAAGAGACGTGCCCCGAAATGAGACCACCCTCCCTTTATTACGAAATCTGGAGTATACACCAACCCGACCATGGCGGGCGGCCCCCATGGCTCCCTGGTTCTTCCTGCGCCAGGGGACACGGCTTACCCCGCGCCACCGCGCGGGGCACCCGGCGCGTCCTACTGTGCATGAGTAACCTGGCCCGCCCCCACTGGCCCCCTTGCCCAAGGGAGGCCAGGTCCCCTCCTCCTCCTCCTCCTCCTTTTCCTCCTCGTCTTCTTCGTCTTCCTCTTCTTCCTCTTCTTCCTCTTCCTCTTCCTCTTCCTCCCCTTCCTCCTCCTCCTCCTCCTCCTCCTCCTCCTCCTCCTCCTCCTCCTCCTCCTCCTCCGTGGCCATGGTGGCTCAAGCTGTACTTCCCGCGTTCGACGCGCGCCTTCCCGTACGACGGCGGCGGGCGGAGACGGCTGCGGAGGGCTGCCGAAGCCTTGGCGGCCTTTGGCTCTCAGACAGCGAGGAGAGTCTCGAGAGAGGGGGGGCCCACTGCCGCGCGCCGAGCGGCCGGGAAACGGCGCTCGGACGCGCCGGAGGCGGGCCTGCGGCGAATCTGCGGCGGCGGGGGTGCACCCGAGCCAGGCTCCTGGCGGGGCCGGGAGAGGGCCGCCCGCCGCCGCCGCCACGCGGCCTGGCATGCGGCGCAAGCGCCCACCGAGGGCTTCGCCCGCGCCCCGGCTGCGGCCATGGCCGAGGCTGCGGCGGGGCCACGGCTTCTGGCCTCCGCGAACCGCGGCGGCAGCCCAAGGGCAGAGGCCGAGCAGCCGTGGGCGGAGGGCACTGGCATCGAGGATGGCAGGGTCGGCCTGGCAGGCGACGGCATCGGGGTGGCGCCCGGATGCTGAATTGCGCCAGGCTGGAGCTCTCAGGCCGTCGTCTCTGCGGACGGCTTTGCTGCGGACTGGCGGCTGGCCGAGGTCTCGGACAACATGGTCACCAGTGGGATGGAGGACGTCGGAGAGGAGACCGCGGGGGAAGACGTCGTCGAGGAAGGCGTCGTGGAGGTGCCGCTGCTGAGCACCGTGGCGCCGCATTTCGACAACGACCATTTCCAGGTTCGCCAGGCTGGCGCTGTCCGCCGTGCGGCGGATTGCGGAGCTGCCCAAGCTGGAGGGGAGGCTGCGCGATGACTTCGGCATCCAGTTGGAGACGCGCGTGCAGTCGGCCGACGAGTCCGACTACGGCATCGATGCGGTGCCGAAGGACGTCGGCCTGGACATGGACGAGGAGCGGGCCAAGCATCGCCCCCAGCGAGGTGTCCAGAGGCGCAGCTGTTCATGACGATTACGCTGCGCTGGCAAGGACCTTCAAGGCCAAGGCTCTCTGTCCACGACGATTTCGACGAACTCGAGTTCGGCGAACACATGGACGCGGGTACGCTCCACCGGTTTTCACGGCTCGGACAACCCCCCTGGTCGAGGCCATGCTGGAGCAGGGCCTGATGGGATGCCATGTCAACGAACTCCTGGGCGCAGGCGCCGTCGGCGGATTTCGGCCTGGAGGAGGACGAGATCGAGGCGCTCGTGGCCCAGGTCGCGGCCCACTTCCTCAGCGCAGGTGTCGCGCAGAGCTGTTGCGCCAGCCTCGAAGACGCGATGAGGTGCGAGATGGCGTCCATCGAGGGTCAGCAGGCCCCCCGCGGAGGGCTCGGTCTGAAGGGCCGTGCCGAGCGCACGGGGTGGGCGAGGGCCCCCAGCGGACGGCCGGTGCGCGCCCGCCGAGTCGCTGGGCGTGGCTCGCAAAGCTGGGGTTCAGTCGGGCGCGTCCCCCTACAGGGGGGGGGTTTTCGACGAAAAATAAAACGTACCCCAGCAATACGCCAAAAATAATCAAAACATCGTCGGGGGACTACTTTTGGTGTATCTTTTGACCTTTTTGGTGTAGGTTTGAAGGTATTTTCATTTTTCGTCGAGAATCCCCCTGTCGGGGGACACGCCCGACGGAAACAGCTGGGGGCCTGGGCGCGGGCCGTGGGGGCCTGGGCGCCAGGGGTGCCCCCCGGGGCGGCCGCTGGCGGCTGCCGGGGGCTCCTCGCCACCGCTCGGACGTCATTTTTGTTTTTTTGTTTTGTTTGGTTTCGTGCGTGGTCTTTTCGCCAAATGGTCGAGGATGTTCCTCGATGGCCCTCGTCGAAGGAAAAACGCACACGTCCGAGCGATGCCAAGGGTCCGGTCTCCGCGGGCCGCGGCCTGCCTGGCCACGGCCTCCCTCCTCGGGGGGGGCCGTCGCCGGGGCAGCCGGCTCTCGGGGTGTCCTCGGGCTCCTCGTCGCCGCCTCTCGGCGCGTCGCCGACGCGCTCTCGAGGCACCCAATGGCTTCAGGGCGCGTGCTCCTCTCATCACCTCCTCCTCCTCCTCCTCCTCCTCCTCCTCCTCCTCCTCCTCCTCCTCCTCCTCCTCCTCATGCTCCTCCGTGGGCGCCGCGGAGGCGGCCTGGTCATGCCTTTCCAGACGGATGTGGCCGCCCTCGCCCCAGTCGGCGCCCCAGCTGTTCTGGATCAGCCAGTACTTGTGCCCGTCCTCCAGGGGGTGCAGTCCTCCTCCTCCTCCTCCTACTCCTCCTCCTCCTCCTCCTCCTCCTCCTCCTCCCCCCCTCTTGTACGTTGACCGTACTTACGTCCTCGGGATGGTACTCTGGTAGCGTCTGCTTCCTCCTCCTCCTTCTCCTCCTCCTCCTCCTTCTCCTCCTCCTCCTCCTCCTCCTCGTTCTCGCCCTACCGTCTATGCATCCACGAGCAAGGGCGCCGTGGCACATGGTGCGCGGCTCGTCCTGTGTACCATCTACGCATCCACGCGCCGCTCCAGGGGACCGCAGGTGGGCGAGTACGAGTGCGAACCCTGCCCAGCTGTTTGCTGGCGGGTTCCAAGTGGACCTGCACCAAACAAGCATCCTCCTCAACCTCCTCGCCCGCTCGCTTGCTCAGAGAGACCCTGCGAGTCCGAGCGCGCGACCCATTCCAGGGTGGGCAGTCCTGAACTCGTGCTGTAAAAGCCCCCGCCCCGCTGCCAGACGGACACGAGGGCCTCAGGTCGAGGCCTCCGCCAAGCTCCAGCGGTCCCCTGGGGCCGAGACCCTCGCTTCCTCCTCGTCCTCCCCCGCGAGGTTCGAAGAACAATGAGAGGACCCAAGCTGTTGAATGTTTCCAGCTCTTCGTTTTCGGCTCATTTCGGGACTGACCTCCGCTGTAGGTGCCGAAGCGGGCTCGGAAGTGGCCTCGTGACCGCGCCCGAGGCAAATCACGAATCTCTTCTTTGCTGATAACCGAAATCATGGAATAACGACACTATGGCATACATGGGAGGCATTCGGGACAACATGGCTCCACCAAAATGTCTCCAATACCCTAAGGTGGCCCACGATGATTGCCTAGATGCCTCCGCGAGGCCCCAAGACACCCTCAAGACGGCGCCCAGTGGCCACGGAGCTCCCCAAGGAGGCCCGAAACGAACGAATGCCAGTGATGCTTGCCGTCTCGCCCTTTCGCTTCCGATGGCCTTGAGAAAGCTCCAAGACGGTCCAACAGGGCCCCAAAACGTCTCCAGAAGCACACCAAGAGGGCCCCAAGAGGCGACTGTTGGGTCTCAAGAGGCGCAGCCGAAGGACCCCCTTCTTTGATTGATGTCCTCCAAGGTCCCCCAGAGAAGCCCCTGCGGCCCCCAAAGGGCCCCAACGGCTCCTAAAATGGTCCCTGCGATCGAAAGATCCGCGAAGGCAGTTATGGTTGACTCCTCGTTACGCTCAGGCAGATCCTTCTCTTCGGCAGGACGGCTGCAGGAATCGATCCTCCTCGTCCAAATGCTCCCTTCCACCGTCCCCCATCGTTCCTCCTCCTCCTCCTTCTCCTCCTCCTCCTCGATCCCTTTCCCTTGCAAGCCACTCCGCCCAATCGCACCCCCGGACGTGTCGGCAGGGCGGGCAGGGCGTTTCATCCGAGACTCCCTGGCCATTCACATGATCCTGAATGTCAAGAAAGATTTGAAACAGCTTCACGGATGGAGAGCGGCTTGCTTTCAAAATGTTGCTCTGTCCTTGGCGCCGTGCACAATCGTCTTGAAAACTGGTGCAACATGTTCGCTGATGGGGGGCGGGGGTCTTGAACCTACACCTCTTCTCTCTTTTGGCGTCCTCCTTTCTCACTCCTGCTCATCCCGCTCCTCATGCTGCTTCGCGTTCTTCTCCTCCTTGCTCTTCCCAAGCAGGGAGAGTCAAGAGTAAAAGGCTGGCCCAGCTCCGAATACCTGTACCAGAGCGGGAACCGAGGGAAGAGGGATAAGGTAGGTGCGCTCGCGCCAAATCTGATATCCGACCCCTCTCACCCATCCTTTCCTATTCATGTTTCTCTATCCGCAGGCGCATGTCACAGATAACCTGGCATTGAACAACTAATGTGAGATGCTCAATCGAAAAGGGTGGGAGGAAAGAAAACCGAGATTAGCACCAACAACATGTTTTTTACCATTGTAATTGGAATTGCGTTTTGAACGATCTCGAGCCTGTCCTGGTTCACAGAATCGCAAAAGAAAGAGCTGGAAAGAGAACAAAATAAACATCGCTTCAGAACCCACCCTCAAACCCCACCGGCGAGACAAGGCCGCGGCAGGCCCGCGTCGGCCAAGTCAAGCGCTCCGGATCCTCGGCCCTCAGGTCCAAAGACCAGGCACCCTGAAGGGCTCCGCTCCAGTGGGCACCTTGGTGCTGGTGTCGGTTTTCCGATGATGCTGGTATCGGGAAGCCCGCACCAGCATCAAGGTGCCACCGGAAAAGGTGGGCGCGAGGGTGCCAGGAGGAGGAGGAGGAGGAGGAGGAGGAGGAGGAGGAGGAGGGAGGAGGGAGGAGGGAGGAGGGAGGAGGGAGGAGGGAGGAGTGGGAGCACTTTCCCTGTGGGCGCCATTTGGAGGAGCGGGGCCCCCGAAAGCCCGAGCGCACGCCAGGGCCACCGATTATTAGAGGCCCTACTGAGCCCGAAGGCCGAACATCTCATGAGGGGCCCTGCCACACAATATCTTCGGACCTGGCTAATGGCATGCTAATGACCGCCTGATTTGGCACTAATGACCTTTGCAATCGCGTCACCGCGGAAGAAAGGTAAGAAGTGAACCCTTCGAGGATTATTCATGGGTCATTAGTGTAAAAAGTCACTACATTGGTTGGCCATTTAGTGGGCAAGTAGTAGGTAAATCTCGTTCGTGGGCCATTCATGAGCCAAATTCATGAGGTGGCCACTAGTGGGGCCATTCGTTGTGCCATGAGTGGGCCATCAGCGGCGCGTTAAGTGGCCATTCGTGGGGAATGTATAGGCCATAAGTGGGTGACGAAAATAGCGGGCCATACCATTAGAAACAGTGAGGGAAAGCCCTCCCTGAAATATCAAGACTCGCGGGGCTCGTGGAACCCGAGGCCTCATAGTACGCACTGGCCTCATGGAGCGCACTGGAAGGGAAGAGGGGAAGGGCCTGCTGCGTCATGCATCTTCCCTCAACATGTTCGTGGATAGCGGACAGACGAGCGCGGATACACGGACGAAACATGAAACTGTCAATGGGGATTTCTCCTATCCAAAAAGAAGTGGGTGTTTGTGTCAGCTCCGAGTGCGCCCAAAGAGGAGCAAGAGGGGGAGAAGGAGGAGGTGGTGGCTGATGACCAGGAGGACGAGCAAGAGAAAAAAAAGTAGGATGAGGAATGAGGAGGAGGATGAGGACGAAAACGAATCGCAGCAGCAAGGACTGACGTGAAAGGAACGGGTGGAGCAGAAGGACCAGGCGGAAGAGAAGAAAAAAAACGGGCGACAACGATTCGGAAATATTCGGGTCTGGTAAAGTGGCCCGAGCTGGGGCGAGAGAGCGCCGGGAACGAAGCGCCGATGCTAAAACGAGACCAATGCTGCAGCGGCAACTTTTTTGTGAGACGCCGAACGCGTTCCGATGGAACACGAACAAAACATCGGAAACATCAAATCCCACCAACCCTCTGGGCACAAATGGCCCTCTGGGCACAAATGGTCGAAAGAGATTCCGCTTCCCTCGTCCAAAAGAAACCTCTTCCCCTACGGGGAGGGGTTTACCCCTCCCCCGACCCCCTCCCCTGGACTTTTTTGGGAGGTTCCGCGAGGTGTCAGGGCGTCCAAAACGGCCTCGGCGAGGAAGCCAACATCGCTGGTTTTACTAAGGTGTTGGCCTCATTTTGGCCTCTTTGGGGGGGGGGCTGAACGTTACACCATCTCCTCAGTTGATCGATGGCCTTCAAGATGGCCCCAAGAAGCCTTCCAGGGCTCCCAAGAGGGCCCCAATAGAGCCCCAAGAGGGCCCAAAGAGGGCCAGACCCCCAAAAGAGCCCGAAAAGAGCTCCGATACCCTCCCAAAGAGGTCCAAGAGAGCTCCAGCAGGCGATTTTGAGGGTTCGTGGGAGGGGGCCGAAATCGAGGACCCCCCTATCTTATGATCGAATCCTCCTCCCCCTCCTCCCCCTCCTGCTCCTCGTCCACCTCCTCCCCCTTTTTAAACTTCTGCTCCTCCCCCTCCTCACCACCACCACCGCTCTCCCCATCATTGCCCACCTATCCGGGCAGACGAACATACAACGGGGATTGCCCTCATTTGATCCCTCGTACCAGCCCCTCCTGATCCTCGTCCTCCTCCCCCTTTTTACCTCTCCTCCTTCAGCTTCTCACCACCACCACCGCTCTCCCCCCCATCATTGCCGGGCTAGCCGGGCAGACGAGAAACATAAAACCGGGATGACGCTCTTTGGATCCCTCCACCTCCTCCTCCTCCCCCTCTTCCTCCTCTTGCCCTCGCCACCACGCGGCCCCCAGGGATGACCCGAAGAGGCCTTCCAAGGCCACCCCCTTGCTCCCAGAGATCTCTCGGTTCATCCTGGTTGCTCGCTTTGTTTCCCTAGATGTGACCCTTCGTCACTTTTCCCGTCAGCTCTCGTGGGCAATGCTTCCGAATGGGCTGGTGGGGATACGCGGAACGTGAAATCCTGCGTGAGAAACAGCGCGCGGAAGGAGGCGTGCCACTTCCCGTTCATCTTCGGGGATTGAGGCGAACAGCATTCATGTTGCAGGGGGAGAGGAGGATGAGGAGGAGGAGGAGGAGAAGGAGGATTAGGCGGGGCGAACAGGGCCATCCAGAAGGTGGGCCGTCGAAAGGGTGCATGGAACGGCTTTCGGGGAGGCGTTCCAAGATTTCTGGAACGCCTTTCCGCCCAGCGTTCGGAGCAGTTCGGTCGCCTCGGCCCACGGCCCGCTACCGCGTCGACATGGAGACACCTCGAAGCGGGATCAGGCCGCACGAGTGAAGCCAAATTGTCTGCGAGGGGCAGCCTTGGAATTGCTGTTCTGCCACCCTCTCTCCTTCTCGTCCTAGGTGTGCCCGTCGACCGCCGCGCCCTTTCTGTGGCGCCGAAGTGGCCACTTCGCCTGGTCTGCCCCGTGCACGCTCCCGTGCTGGCCCTCCCCCTGCCTCCGCCCACCGCGCAGCCCCTTGCCCCCTCCGCCGCCACCTCCCCTTTTCTCCCT